CATTTTGCACCCCAACTACTTTTATGGCAAATTATAATTCGTAATTCCCAATTTAGTTAATGTGTGGATTTGCAACAAACAACGAATCACTAATAACATTAAAACCGCAAGTATTAAATATTTTATATAACATGTTATAATTTATAAGGATGTCATTTAGATCCGTAACTGGAACCGAAATTTTCGGATCCGATTATGGCTTAAACAACAGAGTCACGATTTTTGGTCGCTGTAACGTTAGATAGAATATTAAATTGTGACGTCACTTTTGGTAAGTACTTAAAACTTCGTTACAAATTAGTTCAAATAAATGTAGCGGATTCGGTACTTTTCGAATTTTGAGTCGACTATTTAAAAATGGTTATTAATTATAAAGTTTATTTTATAGACTGCAAGAAAAATTGTCAACACAACAAAAATGGAACACAGCTGGGTTTTTATAAGCACTGCAATCAGGCAAAGAGGCCAGTATCAATTTACATATATAACAGAATATAAACTACTCAATATGTAAATATTGTGTACCTGAATTTACCTTAAATATTCTAAATAATAAACCGGTAACTGAAACCGATTGAATAAACGAAAATGTTTTAATGTGAAATCGAAATAATTGCATATCTTTATCCGTATCCAGATCCGGAATGACAAATCTTAACACATCACTACCGCAAATAAACGAATACTCTATCAGATATCGCTCCAAATATGACCAAAAAACGAATAAAGAAATTAAAAAAAAACCGACTTCAAAAACAAAAAAGTGTCAAATAAGTAATTAAAATTGCTATTTTTAAAAGCACTCTTACGTACGCGAAGTTAATACTTTTAATATTAATAATAAAACACTATCAATTCTATGTGCTACCTGTTCATAGGTTTGAAGTCGGTGCCAAGCCTAATACATAATATAATAAGCATGATTACATGAGTACCTAAACTCGCTGGGCGCGTTTGAATTTATTTGTTAGGATTTAAGAAATTTAGTACCGATTTTCTAACTTTATGGCGTTAGCGTAGAATCAGAAATCTATATGGTTTCGTTACCGGCGAAACTGTATATAGCTTAAAAAGATATTTGGATGAATTATGAATTCTGAAAGTTTTCTCGTACTTGGTTGTTAGTTGCTAGTAGGTTTTTTTTTTTTTTTGTCAGGGGAAAATCATCCAATGACTTCTCCCGCCCAGGGTAAGGCGAGAGAGAGTGTCAGACTCTTACGGGGCTGCGGGGTAAGCGCAATGAGGCACCGCGACCTCGGCCCACAGCAGGAGAAGGAACGGGGGGGTTTTTAGTCGGCCGTCGGCAGTCGACTAAAAACCCCTGAGGTCGCGGTGCCTCATTGCGCTTACCCCGCAGCCCCGGCTAAACATCAGCTCTTTAGGGCCCCGACTGTGATGGTCTATTGGCTCTTTGAGGCGCGCGCGGAACGCTACGCGCCGTACGCTCGGGTCCGGTTCTGGTCGGGCCGGCGGTCTGTGCGGACGGCGAGCTACCCTTACTCGCCGTCAATGACGACACTCGGGCGTTTCCTCCCGCTGGATCCGAAACAGGAACCTACCAAAGCTGCCGTGCCCGGTAAGCACCTGCGTCAGGCGGAAGGTGAGGACGCCGTGGCGTCTCTCAAGCCACTCCTCAAAGAGGGGTCTTACCGCTGCTATAGTAGCGTGCCCGGCCCTCAGTTGCGACAATCGCTGCTTCCACTCAGCCATGAGATCTCGCCGGACCTCATTCCGCCACGCACTAATTTGGCGCGGCAGAGGATCCTCTGTAGTCTGTCTGGAGAACTGTAGACGCGCGCGAGCGCCTTCGCTTCCAGATCCCATGGCGGTGATCCGGCAAGGAGGTTCGCCGCCTCCCCGGAGATCGTGCGATATCCGCGGATTATTCGGATAGCCATGACCCTCTGGGACGCGACCAGCGTACGAGCCGGCCGCCGCTTCAAATCCGGCGCCCACACAGGGGCACCGTAGAGGGCCATGGATCGCACAATCCCCATGTACAACCTCCGGCAGGAGGCGTTTGGCCCCCCGAGATTGGGAAGGAGCCGCTTGAGCGCGGCCCCAGACCGTTCCAACTTAGGAGCCAAACGACGAAAATGCTCCGTGAAGTTCCATCGGCTGTCGAGGACGAGACCCAGGTACCTCATCGCCGACTCGACGCCGATGGTAACTCCTCCTGCCATAATTTGGGACCCATCTGGAGGTGGCGCGTTCCGACGGCCATAAAAACACATGGCCTCGGATTTGTGAAGCGCCACCTCGAGTCCCAACTGCCGGATCCTTGCAACGAATCATCGTAGAATCAGCGTAGAATCAGAAATCTATATGGTTTCGTTACCGGCGAAACTGTATATAGCTTAGAAAGATATTTGGATGAATTATGAATTCTGAAAGTTTTCTCGTACTTGGTTGTTAGTTGCTAGTAGCTGCGTTGTTAGTTGTGGAAATTTCGTCTTTTAGCATTTAAACAGTCTTAATTATCATTTAGTTTTATTCTGTTTAGGGCTTGGCACCGACTTCAAACCTATGAACAGATAGCACATAGAATTGATAGTGTTTTATTATTAATATTAAAAGTATTAGCTTCGCGTACGTAAGAGTGCTATTAAAATATCAATTTTAATTACTTATTTGACACTTTTTTGTTTTTGAAGTCGGTTTTTTTAAACTTAGTTTTTTTTTATTTTTTTCTTTTTAGTGTCTGTTGCAAGTTCTTCTGTAAACTACAGTAATATTTTAAATATAAATTAACATATTGAATAGTATATATTTTTAAGTAGCTATGTGTAGGCCAACGAAAGGACCGCCCGATTAAAAAATATAGATCCCAAGAAATGGGAAAGTTCTCATCATCATCATCATCATCATCATCATCATCAGCCATTTTAATGTTCCCACTACTGGGACACAGGCTATCTCTCTAGGAGAGGGAAAGTTCTTAACAATATAAATAAATTAAGTCCAAACACGAGGTAGCTACTGTAAACCGTTGAGGAGTACCCTAGACTGTCATTCGTCTTCATCATCCCTAATGACAGTCACAATCCATCAAGGTGTAAAGTTCTCATCAAAACGAATAAATTAAGCTCAAACACAAGGAAGCTGCTATGAATCGTTGAGGAGTTCTCTCGACTGTCTCTCGTTTCCATCCGGAATTCCCTCGACGGTCAATTGTCTCCATCATCAGGTAAACTCTACCTTCAGTTGTTATGATACATACCTACAGGTACAAAGTTTTCATCAATATAAATGAATTAAGTTCAAACACGAAGTAGTTACTGTAAACCGTTCAGGAGTTCCCTGAGCTGTCCTTCGTTCTCATCATCAGACCCTTAATGACAGTTACGACCAAGCCTGCTGCAATACGAATCATTCAAGCCCAAACACAAGACAATTACTCCAAATAGTCAAGGAGATCCCTCGACTGTCTTCCAGCTCCAACATCTGGTCGACTTCGATCTTCGTCAAGTTGTAGTGTTGTTAAAGGCCTACTTAAACATCATACAAAAAACCTAATCGCCCCTACAATTTTCGAAAGTTCCCCTCGGTTTCTCCAAGATTCCATCATCAGATCCTGACCTCATGACAATGGGACCAAATGGCAAGTATACCCTATCGAATAAAAAAGTCCAGGCGTCATCGAGTAATCGGTGTACATACATAAAAAAAAAATACGCGTCGAATTGAGAACCTCCTCCTTTTTTGAAGTCGGTTAAAAACAAAGTATGTGGAAATCGTCAGTTCAGTAGGTAGGTACTTAAAATAAATTTCAAATATATAATTAGTAATAAGTTTTCCTTGAGTGAATAATTATGACAGTTATGTATATTCTCCGTTCCCAATATTTATTTGACGTCATGCAATGCATCGAATTAATCAAAATTAAAGTCGTATATCAAACAGCCAGCCAGATAAAAACCTTAATTTATTTTTTTATAAAATACCTACAGCTTTCATACATCTCGCGTCCGGCCTTAGTCGAGGCCATGGTGCGGAGCGAGAATGGTGGTGAATGAATGCTACAGCTCACTCCTCGATCAGACAACTTCTCCGACCTTTAGCCGGCTTTTAACCCCCAAAGACCCTCCCCAAAGATTTAACTTACATTACTTTTCTATATATTTGTTTAGTCGTTCATTCGTTTATTGTAAACAAGAGTCTGTTTGACATGATTTTACATTGTTTTTTATACGATAACCGCCACTTAGGTCACCGGTGACATACGGTAGCGGAGAATTTGCCTTTGCCTAAGCAAACTTGCTGAGAGTGTGTCTGATGATTCTAAAAGTTTTGTTATTTTGACGGGTGTATTGGTAAACATTTAAAGTGCGAAAAATTGTCTCTAGTCTTACGAGTACCTGCGATTGTCGAGTCACTAAATATTTAGCAGTCTAAATGTGTTGAATTCCCTTATTAAGAAAGCAAAAAATGCATACATACACATATTAGTGGCTAATGAACAGTTTTCTTGAAATATTATTTGGATAAACCTTATTTGATCATTTTGTGATTTAGAAAGATCTATATATAATCAACAAGATCGCTGTAATCAGAAGGCAAGTGGTTTTTAATTATTTTAAGTGGTCACTATTATCTAAAACCATATCGATACAAGTGAAGCTGAAGTCTATCCTAGATGGTTCAGTAAATATTAGAAAAAATGAACCTAATTTTAATAGCTCCGAGCTACTTGTGTTGTTTTCTAGTAAATTAATAATGGTATCACCACATACAGTTTTATGGATGGAAGGAACCTTCCTGATAATATGCTCTTTTAAAGAATCACACAATGCAAATTTAACAAAGAATAATGTTAGGGAGACAAATAATTTTGCATCTATTCAGTTACTTAGACTGAACCAACTAAAGGTATTCAGGTTTATTATAAAGCCAAATATAATAATTTTAATATTCATTCATATTTATTCAATCATACACAATAAATGACAATTACATATATTGTTACAATACAAAAATGCTACGTGCTAACATTGAAAGGTTTAATCTAAACTAAACTTATAACAATTAATGTGACTTGGAAAACTACTCCGGAGTTTGCCCGTATTTTCTTTTTCTGTTGCTGCTCTCTCCGGTAATACGGCTGCGTCCTTCAACAGAGGGCCATTAACCAATAGCGCCACTGCAGTTGCAGCTATAGCGGATACTGTTACCGCCACCACGGCGTCTTCCGTCAGTTCGCAGTCTTCATAAAGATGTGAGCAGAACTCTCGATCATACTCTAAGCAGTATGTTTCCGAGTCTGCGTAGTAGTAATAACAGCGTTCTCGACAATGTTCTGACCGGTAGGAACTCGATTGCAAGTCACGGCGTGCCAATTCAGTAGGATCCACGACGAAGACATAAAAGTCTCTGCATTTATTGTTTCTCCATGCGCAGCTCAGGTGGTTTCTCGAGAATCTTGTGGACTTGGATATATCGCCGCGGTCTTTTCCTCGCATAACTCTTCTCAAACGACTACAACCAATTCCATCAGAAGCTCCTCTAGGACTGCTGCTACTGTGTTTTCTATACACTTTAAGTTTAGGTCCAGCGTCGGTCGGCGTATTCGTGTTAGCATTTGAAATAGCATCGAGAACTGATTTCAATTGCTCAAACATCTTTAAAATTCTTAATTTTTTAACTAATAAAATAGTATACACTAGCACTCCAATACACTTTAGCAACAATTACTATGATGATGACGCTCACTCCGCGGGAAACTTGTTAGCAATGACCGATCGGCGATGGCTGATGGGCGACTGTTCTGTCAGTGAATGAGACTTGACTGGCAGAGTTTGACAAAGATAAGGGTTGAAGTGGGGGCGCTCGCACTGTGAGAGTAATGCACGTGGTAGGTAGTGAATTTTTTTCTTTAGAAATAAATTTGCCATTGTTTCGTGGAGACAATAATACTCAGAAGTTTTATCTACATGCCCTATCTATATCTTTTGTTTTGACTTTTATTAAAAGTAACAAAGAAGGTGGATTTGCCTCAGCTTAAAAGGATTGTGGATAATATAATACGCCTAATCTAATCGGTTTAGCAACAAAAGCTAAGGTCAATCACCCTAAAGTGCCTTTATGTAGGAATCCCATTGAAACCTTTTGTCTAACGTGATTCTTAAAAATACTATAGTTTGTCGACCTACTTCAAGGATTTATGTTTTTTTACACATTGAACTAAAACTTTCAAATTTTAATAGATATTACATCGTTAACAGATATAGGTTTATAAATGGACCAAATGTTGAACCCTGAAGAACGCCCTTTTCATTTCCTTACCTATTTCTCTATAGAACATTTTAACAAATAGAGCACATTGTGCCTATTTCCGTAATGAGCTAGTTTCACAAAAATATCTCTTGATCGATATCAAACGCTTTGGATAGGCCGGGCTTCCTATTAAACATCAAATATTTGCTTCATTAAGACTCTGGCGTTAGTTGTATAAAATTTCGTGTAACCGTATTGTTGTTGTTAGAAGATGGAGTGTTTTTTAAACCGAAGAGAGCTTTATTCTTTGCGAGCATAACTGATTTACAGTAAGAGCAGATGGCTTCCTAGTTCCTCTCGTTTCGCACCAGTAGCTCAACTAAGGCCGGACGCGAGGGCCGGTGCTCAGCCCATGCAGGGCACACCGCAACCGTATGTTCCATCGTGTCCTCTGGGTGGCCCTCACAAAAGTATCCAAGATAGCATAAAATTTTTAGGTTTTGAATAGTGAGGACCGTGAATACTGACACGACGGATACAAATGATACGACTGATACGACCGACACGACCGACACGACAGATTTTTTTCACTAAATTATGAACTTGCGAATCGCTAACTGACGTAACAGCTATTCTTTGATTTATTAATTTCAAGTATTCCTACTGCAGAAAAGGCATTTACGGCTTCGAAACATCTTCATATTGGTATATCAAAACTGTTAACATAAAGCAACGGAGACGTATTTCCTTATTTTTAGCTTCAATTTTCTGTTCTTCTTGCCTGGTACCTACACTATAAAATTATTGATTGTTTCATATGTATTAATTACTTCAATAAACATTCCATCTTCCATCAACAACAATACGGTTTCACAATACGTTGTTGAACAGCTGACACCAGTGTCACTTTAATATAATTAACGATAATATAATGGTTGTTATAAGTTATATATTAACGATTATTAATTATCTTTAGTCATTATAAACGATTATTAATAATCATTTTACTAACAATTACCCATGTGTTAGGGTAAAACAAATCTTTATTTATTGTATTTCCAATTTACAAACACAATAAATTTCAAAATTACTATACATAATTATTAATTGGTCATACCCTGATTGGCCGGCCTTTATACATCAAAATGAGATTTTACTCACTCACTCAACTCACACTAAAATAGCTTCCGAAGCACAAATTTCAAAAAGCGACCCCCTTCAGGGTTTTTTTTTTACATATATTGATGATTTTACATATTTTGTGATAGATCTCTGTTTTGAAACTCCGTGGTTTCCATCCACTAATAAATTTTTTGACCATCTATGTCAATTTATTACGGATCTCGATGTAAAACTTAAGAAGCTAAACCAATTTGTGTAAGTTACTAAGATTTTTTTATCAAGGGAAAATCATCAAATGACTTATCCAGCTCAGGGTAAGGCGAGAGAAAATACCAGACTAACTGACTAAACCCTCCCCCCTCCCGTTCCTTCCCGTTCCTTCTCTTGCTTTAGGCCGAGGCCGCGGTGCCACATTGCGCTTACCCTGCAACCCCAGCTGAACATCAGTCCTGTAGGGCCCCGTCTGTGGTGGTGTATTGGCTCTTTGAGGCGAGTGCGAAACGCTCTCCTCACGCGGTCCGCCTCCTTTTTCGCGAGCATAACTGCTTCACAGAAAGAGGAGACTACGGCTTCCCAATTTATCAGAAAGGTTGGATTTTTAAATAAAACAAAGTAAGTATAGTGATATGTTGATTTCAATTTAACTTATGACCTCGTTTTCCTTTCAACAAAATTAGCGTATCGCGAACTCCATAGCAAGACCTTAGTCGATCCCAACGCCATCTATCGATGTCAACGGCAACTTTTAGAGATTTTACATCTCTATGTTATGGATCTTTATTAACAATTAATTATAATTTGATAGAAAAAAAAGACTGATGTAGTTGTGTACTTCGCGTTGGTATGTGAAACAGTAGCAGGGTTCGGATTTATAAATATTTTTGCATAGGCGACAACTGCTCGTACTCCCAATTTTCTTCCCATATCAGTCGACTATCTGAAATAAAAATAATCTGTAATATTTTTCAATATCCTTGTTCATATTTTATTATGACATAGGTCGGCAAACGAACAAACGGAATACCTGATGGTAAGCGATCGGCGCCGCCCATGGACAATCGTAATATCAAAGGAGTTACTACAAGTGTGTTGCCGGCTTTTGGGGATTAGTGTTTCCGATATTTAAGGATTCTCACATGGCGAAACATAACTCTGTCGTTGTTTCACGGCAATTTTATCTTAGGCCGTGGTTTTAGCATTAATCTCTACGCTTACTCGAGGCAGATTGGCGATTTTAAACTTATAATTGAAAAATTATCAGTCCAGGTTTCTTCACGATATTTTCCTTCGCCGTTCGTCATTGGTGTCAAATTAAATTTGAAAGTACCTACATAACAGGGAACAGTTACCTTGGCCTACACCAGTATGAGTTGGTCTTGATGTTGGTAATCTTATCTCCTTTGATGATGAGAGAGGCAGTAGTTCTGAAATTGACAATTTTAATTACTGGTTGAGGTCAACTACACACTTGAAGCGGTGTCTGGGAAACCAGCTGCCGCGCAAAACCTCCAAAAACCGCCACTACTGTAAACTAGGATCTACAGTAGATACAGTAACCACGAAAACACCGAAGCATTGAACTCTAGGGCGTCCCATAGACATGAATGACTGTCTTGGACCCCACAACGAAATAAATCAGAAGATATCATTTGAGAAGAAGAAAAAAACTAAAAAGTTTCCACTTCCCACGTTAAATTTAATAGAACAGAATGACTCAAACTTTAAAGGCACAAAAGAGACTGTACAACTGGGAGAAGCCCAGTCACCAAACACCATGGAAAATGTTCTAATTCTATCTTGGACCCATTAGTACAAGATTAAAGTGGGTAATGGATGTTTTCTACTTTGCTATAACAATGCAGGCAGCAATATCGATAGTACGGAAATCAAAATGATTATAATCAGAATATTTACCATGTACTTGCTTCTTAGTAACATTACGGGTGATCTTTTTATTCGCCATTTTGTGTGCTTGCCCAAAATACTTGTGAGGAGGCACTGTTGAAAAAAACATCAGAATATCACGTCAAAAAATGGTAAATGCTAGTCAGAAAAATGTTCGTATTACTTTACGAATATCAGGCTAGAAATTATCAAAGGTGGTAAATAGTAGAAATTTTTCGTGTGCGTACTTTTTCTAGTATAAAAAGTCTTGTTACCTTTCGGTGGTGGTGGTAGCTTCCTACCAATTTTAGGTGTAGTCCTTTCATGGACAGTCTTAGGCGCTTGAAACCCAAGTCTCTCACGGCGGCTGCGGTGAGTAGGCTCTGCAAAAATTAAGAAAAGCTAACTGTATATTTACTTGATAGTCGTCTTTGTGAAGGCATTCCATAAAGGATTTTATAATATAAGGAGTACTGGAGTAGACCAGCCACCTGATGGTGCGAAATAGATTAACCAGAAGAGCTACAAATGTATTGGTTGAGGATTGAGGATGAAAGCTAAATTAGGCCTCCAGTAACCTCACTCATATGGCAAAACTCAAAGCTAGTCTAGTCTTTTTCACGTTGCTTCTCTGTCAGGCTCTGTTTTTATCTGTAATAGGTTACCTTGTGGAATTTTCCTAGCAGGATTGGGGGTCCTTTCATCGGCTATGTTGAATGTATTGTTCGTAACACCCTGTTCAGAAGCATCTGCACAAAATAAGAATATCACATTAACAAAACAAATACCAAATAAAACCTAAGTTATATAGTTATTTTGGTAATTCAAAATCCTTAGGGAAACTCGAAAAGAAGCCAATTTTGAAATAAAGTACTTAGTTAAAAAAAATTACTTTAGCCGGGGCTGCGGGGTAAGCGCAATGAGGCACCGCGACCTCGGCCCACAGCAGGAGAAGGAACGGGGGGGTTTTTAGTCAGTAAGAGTCTGACACTCTCTCTCGCCTTACCCTGGGCGGGAGAAGTCATTGGATGATTTTCCCCTGACAAAAAAAAAAAAATGGGAGATTCACTAACTGTGTTGCCAATCACAAAATAATGTCAAGATCAGATAACCAGAATTTGCTATTACTCTTTTTGCTTTTTCGACGGTAACGTCTGAAAGAGTTTCTTATGAGAGGAAAAACAGAAGAGTCTTAGGAAAATAAATCCTTTCGACACTAGGATAATTGCAAAAGTGAATATCTGTGCGAAACAGAGGCTGGTCATAGGAAAAAATCGTAGTACGGGACAACTTTGTTTTAAAAAAGGAAAGAAAAAAAATTCACGCCTTTTGATTAACGCTCGCAACTTCTCCGTATGAGCAGAGGCCTTTGTCTAGTCTTTGTTCAATAGAAAAACTAACGATAATAATCAGCATAATTAAGGACTTACCAACATAGTCGTACACTTCCGGTGGCAAAGGATAAGGTGGACGTTTAGAAATATCTCTGCAAGAACCTGTAGAAAAAGAAAAAAGCAAAAATTAGGTACGCTGTGTTTCGCCGTGTGAATGAGGTTACACCGCCCAATCCCTCCCCTCCACATCCTCAATCCTCAGATCTTTGAATCCCTAATAACCTATGGGACTCACTTTACAACTCCCTTGGCAGGAAGTCCATTGGCGACGCTGATTGCTTACCACCAGGTCCCTCAACTTGTAACTGTGAGAGACTTGGCAATAGATCACCCAGCCCACATCAATCTTGAGTTGTGTCAGTGACTCTCTCTTAAGCGAATTACCGCATTGCGAATATTATCACGCAAACAAAACAAAATCCAAATATGCAAGCAAGCTATGATTGCCAATTTTTATTTGATGATATACACTCATCACTTCAATCCTATCTCATCACATCAATTAAAACAAAGTATCATCATCATCATCATAAGTCCCTTTCCGTCCACTGCTCGACATAGTTATTTCCAGTTGCAGATTACTAAGCTCTGAACTTCAGCTATCGTCCTATCCCTGCCAGCCAACTTACGGATGTCGTAAGGCCACCTAGCTCGGGCCGAAACTATGAACTTACACAAAAATGTAGACCATTAAACCTTCTTCGCAGCGCACACCATGATTTACCTTCATCCAAAAAAGCATTCTTTCACTATAAACAATAGAAGTACTTAAAAGAGTGGAATTTAGTGTGACCAACGTTAATTTTGTTTTTTAACTAACTTTACACTAATATTTCACAACAATCTTAGTATGGCTGAAGGGACTGAAATGGAACCACTTATAAAAAACTTACATGCAAACTTTTGGCGCTTCATATAAATTATGTAAAGTGTTTGACAGAGCACTATTATTCCAAAAAGCGTCAGAGCTATTAGTAAAAGACTCGAGTCTTGAGCTGAAAAAAAAAAACTTAATATCAATGTGGTATTACAAACAAAGTGTGGGAGAGCTAAGCTAAGGCACGAATAGGTTGGCGTGAAACAACTAGGTATAGTGTTGTGTTTCGCCGTGTGAATGAGGTTACCGGAGGCCCAATCCTTTCTCTCCCCCACATCTCGCCCTAATTATCCGGAACCCTAATTCCAAAAAGGCAACGCACTCGTAACTCCGTGTTACGGATGTCCTTGGGCGGCGGCGACTGCTTACCACCAGGTAATCTGTCTACTCGTTTGCCAAACAATTACATAAAAGTTTGGAAGAGTCAAGCTTTGGCAAGAATGGGTGCGCTCGACCGGAGTGATACCATGGCCTTACAGAAAACTGGCGTGAAATAACCACAGCGTTGTGTTTCGCCACGTCAATAAGGTTACCGGAATCCCAATCCTTCCCCACATCCCCAAATCTTCTGAATCCTAATCCCAAGAAGGTCGGCAACGCCGTCGTACCTCCTTTGGTGTTACGGGTATCCATAGGCGGCGTCGATTTCTTACCATCAGGTAATCCATCTTATTTGCCAACCGATCACAAATTAGTGTGAGATGAGTTACTTACAAGGAGTTGGAGGTATGGGTGCAGACGGCAAAGTCATCTTCTGTTCTCCTGAAAACAAGGTTTGTTCAAAGTAGGAAAACAGACAACAATCTGAGGTGGAAAACCTCAGGGTTACGGGAGCAACAGCAATGATTTACCGCGTCCAGGCTCGAAGCGGTAGAAGGAACCGCCAGCTCATAACAGCCCTCTACTTTTTTTACAGTATTGGTCGGTAAACGAGCAAACGGAATACCTGATGGTAAGCAATCAGCGCCGCCCATGGACACACGCAACACCAAAAGAATTACGAGTGCGTTGCCGGCTATTTAGGAATAAGGGTTTCAGGTATTTAAGGATTGGGAAGGGACGGGGAGAGATGGAGGGATTGGGCTTTCGGTAGCCTCACTCACACGGCAAAACACAATGCTGTGGTGGGACTGAGCAAAAGCCCTTCTTACACAAAAAAGGATTATCAAATTAATTAGTTAGTCATGAATAATCATGAAGTGTGGGAGAGCCATGCTTCGGCACAAATGGGTCGGCTCGACCGGAGTGATACCACGGCCTCACAGAAGACCGGCGTGAAATAACCACTGCGTTGTGTTTCGCCGTGTGAGTGAGGTTACCGGAGGCCCAATCCTTCCCCTTCCCCAATCCCTCCTCAATCCCTAAATCTCCAAATCCCTAATCCCTAATAGGTCGGCAACGCACTCGTAACTCCTCCGTTGCGGGTGTCCATGGGCGGCGCTGATTGCTTACCATCAGCTTAGGCAGGTCAAAATTTGGGTGATCTTATTAAAAATATATAACTTACTCGCGTGTGTTGTGATATTAGTTTTGCATAAAACAGTCTTCTTAGGACCCGTTGTTATATTAAACTTAAATTGCCATGTACCTCGTAGATTGCGTTTCACATTGAGTTTCTGAAAGAAGTTTTTTTAAGAAAACTCTTTGCTTATCCTAGGTTTTTGTATCGTTAGTGCGTTCAATTTCACATACACATCACACCCAGACTCAAAACAATCATTTGTGGATCACACAAAGAGTTGTTCCGTTCGGGAATCGAATCCCCCCTGGGCACGTGTCCAACTGCCTTGCGCACCACGAAAGGGTCACTTTTCTTCCGATTATCCCCTCTACTTTACTAATATTTTCTTTGATAAGAACCTTCTTCTAACAATAATAAATACAACAAAAAAGCATTGGCAAAATTAGTCCAGCCGTTGTTGAGTTATGCGCTTACCAACACATTTTGCGATCCATTTTATATATGTATATGTTACCGGAAATGTATGAAACCTAGGAATTATATACAATTACTAGGAAATGTATACTATACAATTCCGAAGCTATATAGGAAATGTGTAAAATATTGTTCCAAACATTATTTAATACACACATATCCTGGGAAATGTATACATTTCCTAGAAATTGTATAAAATTCCTATATCGTATTAGGAAATGTATAAAACCATGCTTTCTATGAATAAAATTAATAAAACACGTTGTTAAACTTAGAAACAGATTAATTATTAAGACTTCGGTTGAAACAATTAGGTAACAATCACATCGTAAAATATAATATTTTCTTCCGGCTTACTAACTAAGCTACAAAAACAAAACTATTTACTAAATTTTAAGGCCCATCTAGCACGAAAACTACTTATATTTTCTTATAAAGCTCTATCATTTGGTAACTAATCAGTCTGTCAATTAAACAGTAATACGCCGTATAAACGCATACGAATGAACATCTTTAAAGTAATACATTTCCGTTAGCTATTTAGGAAATGTATAGATTTACTAGGAAATGTGTGTTATAAAATTTATTTCACACATTTCCGAGCAAATTTAGGAATTATATAAATTTCCTAGGAATTGTATACAATGACGGATTACATACATTTCCGTTGACATATACACTAGCGGTCGCCCGCGGTTCCGCCTGCGTGGATGTCAATTGTACACTTTTTCAAGATTTTTTTTAATTTTCTCTACGCACAAACTTTTATTGGACTTCCACGAACAGTTCAAGACCAAAATTAACCAAATTGGTAAAGGCATTGTTGAGTTATAACAATAAAACGAAAAGTGGAAATGATTTTTATGTAATTCTACTGTACGCGTGTATGTCATTGAACACCTCCTAAACGGCTATACCGAATTTATTGAATTTTCCTGTATGCGTTAGAGCCCGGCAGATGGCGCTGATTGCTTGAAAAAGCATCTGATCTCGGAAATGGCTCTAACGATTTTGCTGAAATTTGATATGTGGGGGGGAGGTCCGCTAGAATGGATATATAGGTAGATACAGTAGTTACCTACATAATAATAAACTCGATGCTGAATCTTGATATCAAAGGGATGAACGGTAGCATTGTCATAAAATATTACTTGATTTGATAGTTGAATAAAACGTCTCTTTTCGTTAACACGGAAACTAAAACATAAAATATGAATTAATGTTAACATACACAGGGTGTAAAAAGACACTTAACGAAGCCGTTAACTACGCATACTGCAGTTCTAACTAAGTAGCTTTACGCTAAAATTATCACTGGGAAACGACTTTTATTTTTAGGTATCAAAAAAAATAATAATTTTATTGCGCGCAATGTACAGCAAACGGGCTTCGTGTCATTGTGTGCGTAGGTTCACAGCTTAGCATTAAAACGCTGTGATAAGTACGTAGGTCGACGTTTTACTTCGCAACAACAAAACAATTCTGTAAAATAAAAATCCTACTGAGATGCACGAGGTTTTTTGTGCGGGTCTGCATTTATTTATTACGTACATTACTGTTCGTAACTTCAAATGCGTAATTTATTAATAAAAATCGATAATTATGGTAATGTTTGTTTGGAAAAAAGTTTTGTAATAACACTTAGAATTCGATTGGGCAAAAAAAATTAAAAATGCATCTTTGACCTTCAATATCTCGAGAACCCGTGAAGTCCCAGCTATGGTCTTAAAGAAAAAAATGATCCAAATAATGGGTAGAATACGTGGCTTTCGGCTTCGTTAAGTGTCTTTTTACACCCTGTATGTATCCACATATATATGATGGTAAGCAATCGGCGCCGCCCGTGAACACCAGCAACACAAAGGAGTTCCTAATGCGTTGCTGAAGTTTTGGAGATGAGGGGTTTTGCGATTAGGGAGAAATGGAAGATGGGAAGGATTGGGCGTCCGGTAATCACACTCACTTGGCTTAATACAACGCTGTGCTTGTGTCACGTCGGTTTTCTGTGAGGCCGTAATTATAACGTTTTTGTTATTAGTCGAAAAGAAGATATATATATTTGTTTCTGTGCTGTCTGTTCTTATGAGTCGTAATGTTCGAAGTGTACAAGAATGGGTCAGCGCGACCGGAGTAATATACCACAGCCTCACAGAAAACCGGCGTGAAACAACGATAGCGTTATTAACTTTTAAACTTCCGCGTTCCATATTAACAACATATATTTATTTAGGGTTTTTATTATTTAATATTTTTTAATATTTTATAGGTATATTTGTTTAGGTTATTAACAACCCAACAACAACCAACCGGGTCGAAACGTCAAGCCTATTATTAGAATACCTTGGGTATTCAAATAATAGGAGAGTGAGGGTACCGGAGATCCAAATCACTGATGCCTGTAAGGTCGGCAACGCATTCGTAACTCTTCCGTGGCCCATGGGCGGCGCTGATTGCTTACCATCAGGGAATTCGTTTGCTTGTTTATTACATAAAAGAAATACAAACCTTCTTAATGATAATTTGTGCTGCGTACAGACTTCAACAGTATATTGAGTTCCTTCTAACAAATCGTATGAAGAATCCACGGTGCAGACGCCATGCTTATTATCAATTCCCATTTGTATCGTTTTATTTTCTGAAAAAGAAAAAATCTATCAAACAAAAATGTTTAGATAGAAACAAACAGTTTGTGACAGAGTTTGAACTTTTTTTTATCTTTATTAAATACTAGCTTTTGCTCACGACTTTGTTCGCGTGGTAAAGTGACTTCCTGCAGAATTTTGGTATACAAACTATCCTTGCTCCCTTGTCAAGTTCCAAAATATGTCTGTACCAAATTTCACAGAAATCGGTTCAGTAGTTTAGGCATGAAGAAAAGACAGACAAACAGACAGACAGGCAGACAGAGTTACTTTCGCATTTATAACATTAGTATACAGTATGTATATTTAATATAATAATAATGGGGACTTATTCAAACTCCCAATAGTTTATGCATAGACTTCGCCAAAAAACATATAAATAATAAAAAAAAACCTGATTAATGACGAACAAAACCGTTCCAAAAAATTCGTAAAAATTTCGCAACGTTGCGACACCCTAGCGCTTATCGCAGAACATATTCGCGGTCAATGATCGACGCCGACGTAAGTATAAATGCATTTTTCCTTCATACTTTACATCTGGCTCAGGACAGGCAAAAATATCTAGGTACATCAAACAAAAAACATTCTGCGTGCGGACATGACCATCGTAATTTTTGCGTATTTAAAAAATGAATGTTTACGTAATCACGTACGCGCACCTAATAGTGCGCGGGTGCTCCGTCATGTTGGCAGTACAAGTTCCGGTAGATATTTAAAGGCACTTCTTCTAGCGTTACCTATGTAACGCGACAAGTGATTTCGGCACAAGGATTTTCGTGACTCCACCAATGCTCATTATGTACATAAAAAATCCCCATTCTTGTGAAAGTGGCTTTGTCGGTAAATAAAATGTTTTTGTCTAAATTAGACAAAACCTACCGACAAAACTTCACTCGAGGTTCATGGTCATTAATCCCAAGTTCCTGCACGGATCTAAAATGGTAAGGGTGCATGTCTTCGTGGTGCAGCAGCTTCCACACAGTCATGTGTAATACACCAAAACGCCTTGCAGCATTTGCGAGTACTTTCTTGTGGATTTTCTTCGAAGTACTCGAGGATGGCATGTTGTAGATCTACTGGGTATGGTGCTGCTCCTCTTCCTTGAGCATGCGTCGGCACGGTAAACTGACCATACGTTCTTAGACGCTGGTTGACACCTAGCATCAAACC